TAAACTAGCTTATGATAACCATACGGCCTACGTGCCAAAAAATGTATCTTGTGACCCTTTTCAATGAACTTATAAAGAAAAATGTTTTACCACAGTAGGATTAGTGTGTTATTTGTACAGCACTACAAGATTAGCACATGTTGTTTGTACCAAACTCCACGGCCACAGCATAAAAGGTGAAGCCTCGGGCTGCCCTTCAGCTTGGTCTCCTGACTCAATGCTTGTGGACTCTGCCCCAGCACTACTCGAAACTGTCTGTGACGGTCACTCTGCCTGTCTGGAGTGCCTGTCTAGCTCCCTGGCCGTACCCATCTCTGGATCACTGTGAGTTCCAGGGCTGCCTGTTGGGCCCTCTGTTCTCACGGCGTGTTGGCCAGGTGGGTCCTGCGTCTTGGTGCCCCCTCCAGCTTCCAGCTATGCCCTCTGTCTTGCTGTGAAGGTGATGAGTGCTCAATAAACTGCTGCATTTGGGAGAATGCTCAACTCTTGGGGTCTTTGTTTGGCAAATGCGCCAACCCACTGTGGTTCCTGAGCCCCACGCTGGCCTAACTCAGAGGGCCTTTTGTGTCCATTCACAGTATCAGTTGAGGTTGAGCCAAAGCTCACACCGTCCACCTACCATAGCCGCGCTGAGTTGGCCTCAGGAAAGTTGTTAGCAAACAGAAGACACCAGATGGACACTGAGGCTCCTGCCGGAGGCAGCCCCTGAGCTGGCAGCCCACTATCCCACACACCAGGGTGCATCATGGGCCGTGGCCTCCTGTCGTCCCATGCCCTCACAGGGCTCTTTCTCTTCAGCACACAGGCAGCCCATTCCAGAGGAAGGACATGGTGCTGCAAGTGACTGGGTCACATTGCTGGGAGCAACCCTGGTCAGAGGCCACCCGTCCTTGTTTTGGCTGAGCGTCCTCAAATCACTCCATGGAGCCTGACCCCACCATGGTGGCATATGGGGTTGTGGCCTGGGGAAGCTGCTGGAGTCTGATAGGCCATAAGCCCCAGGGTGGGGCTAGCGTGTTCACAGAAGAGAAGGGATCACAGCAGCCAACATGTGGCGAAAGGGAAACGAGTCCTCCCTCCAGCCCTGCCACTAGGACCCCCAACCTCTGACTTTGGAACTGAGCAGTCACTGGGTCTGTGTCACTGCAGCCAGCTAACCAGACAGAGCCCTCCTGGGGAACAGTCGGACCCAAAGGGCTCAGGGATGGCTGAAGGATGTCAGTCCTGCCGCAGCAGGTCACAGGACGTGGGGGGGCACTCTGGACCCAGCAGCCTGCTACCATGATAGATGTGTCCCCCAGCCAGAGCCAGAGTGGATATGGTTGGGTGCTGACAGGGCAGCTCCCTGGGTCTTCCTGAGAGGATGCCTGATGTAACCACTGGCCAAGAGCAGTTTCTGCTGCTTACCGGAGACAGGCAGGGACAGGAGTGGTGGGCACCTGGTGCATGGCCTGACCTGGAAGAATCGCGGTCCCACCTGCTGGTCACCAAGGCCCAGGAGCAAGGGCCCTGCTGGTCATGGAGGCCATGAGTGGGCTCCAGGGCTCAGCCCAGAGTTGTATGAGCCAGCTTCTGCCTTAGTAAGGTGGGGCCTTGGGTACTGGGGCACTCCACAGGTGACCCTGGCTTGTGCCCACCTGAAGGGCTTCAGACAGAGACCATGGAGGGTGCTGACCCTGGGCTGAGTGCCTGAGGTCACTTGGGAGGGGCAGGCCTTGTCCTGCATGGTTACATCCAGGTAGAATCCAGGAAGGAAAGACCCACAGACCCCAAGCACATAACCAGGCCTCCATGCACTGGCCAGACATCACCCACACCCACAACAGTCCTGGGAGCCAGATAGTGTTGGTGTCAGGCAATGGCCACCTTGCCCAGCCCTCCACCCTGGAGAGCCTGTTCCCCAGCTGCCTGACTCAGCCCAGGTTTCCAAATGGGGTTCTAGAATCAGGTGGCTCAGGGAAGGGTTGGCTAACTTGGAGGGGAAATGGTATCTTGTTACTCAGGCATGGGTGAAAGCAAGGGAAGTCAAGGTTGTCATGGCAACGGCAGGATGCAAAGCCTAGTCCCCTCCCCTGTCCCTTGAAAAAGAGACAGAGACTAGGGGAGTGTCAGCTGATGGCAGGGGGCCATGGCACCCACGATGCCAAGGAGAGATGGGGAGGGTCTAAGTGCTGCAGGCGGGAACCCCCCTCCCTGCCAGCTTGGAGGCAGCTGCCCAGAGGACTGGCGCCACCTCTCCTCCAGACCCTACTGGCATGGCTCTACCCCACATCAGCCCCCACCACAGCCAGGAACACCAGGAGGGGAAATGGTTCTGCCTGGACACAAGGGACCTGTCTGGGACAGTCCAGGGCCTGGTCAGGGGCCCATGACACCCACCGGGCCCCCAGGCAGGGGTGACTTGGAGTCTGCATTCATACCAGGGTATTTCTGGGGTGATGTGCCCTTGGGGGACACACGGGGTCCCAAGAAATGACGCTCAGCTGGAAACAGCCAGCAGAGGTGCAGGGCCTTGGGGCTCTGGGCCTCCAGTCCAGGTACCACATGAGCTGTGTTGTGGCCTCAGAGCCCTAGAGAGAAGGCAGCGCCCCCTTATAGAAGGACCTGCCCTGGTGGCCAGCTTCTACCTGTGGGAAGAGGAAGCATGGGGTCTCCTCCCTGAATGCTCCAATTAAAATAAGAGTAACAGCTGGGAAGATTGTTCATACTGTTTCTATTTCTTGGGCATCTATAGTGCTTGTGTGTCTGCAGACCATGAGGCCCACTGCACAGAGGGGCCCTGGCCCTGGCAGCAGATGGTGGGGTCCATCTTTGAGTGACTGCAGACTTCCTGCAGGTCCTTCTCTAGTCCCAAGTGCAAGGGGAGCTCTGGGGCCACCCCCGTGCTGCATAGCTTGCAGATGGGTGCTGGATGTCGGACATCACAGTGTAACTGTAACCGGCAGCAGCACCAGTTGTAGCTGAGACCTGGACAGGAATTAGCCAGCCTGAGCAGCCTGCTGCCAGCTTTCTTTTCTGTTCCCACCACGGACTGAGATAGTCTGGGTTTAGCACACCTTTACTCTCCCAAGACCAGAGACCACAGGGCAGGGTCTCTTCCCCTCCCAATCTCCTCCCTTTTCTTCTCCTTCTGCTCCTCTTCCTCGTGTTTAGTACTGGGGATTGAACCCAGAATATTCCCACCAAACCACTGTACATCTCCAGCCCTTGTTTATTTATTTGTTTGAGACAGGTCAAGTTATATAGTCCAGGCCAGCCTTAAACTCCCTATGTATCTCTGGCTGGCCTTGAACTTGCACTTATCCTCCTGTACCAGCCTTGAGTGCTAGAATTACAGTGTGCACCACCATACCTGGCTCCTCGCAGCCCCTTTTTAAAATTTATGTTTTGATAAGGTCTACAAGGTTTTCAAGTTGCCTGGGCTAGGCTTGAACTTGTGATCTTCCTGTCTCAGCCTCCCAGAGTGCTGACCAGGTGGTCTTGGTTACACTGACCGGGCTCAGTGAGCAAGAGATAACACACACCCTAGATGCCTAAGGGAGCCACATCTCCCACAGGGCAGAAGAGAAAACCTGAAAGCCAGGAGCCTCCCAGAAGTGTGCAGGGACTCACAGTTGATGAAATGAGGGTGTTGCTGAAAAATGGGGTGTCCGTGTCTGTCATCCCTCCTGAGGCCTGCAGCTGGAGGGACTCCGGGTTGGAGCTCATCCACTTCCTGGATGACGGTAGCGCTGGCAGGAAAGCTGTGGCACCACACTGTGCCGAGTGGACAGCCACCAGACCCAGGCTGCCAGAAGCACCAGAAAACCATTACCTTCTTGGCGAAGGCAACTTGTGCTGTCACACCCAGTTCTCCACCTGAAATGCAGCCCTGGACTCACTGCTGAGCCCCTCTGGGGGCCAATGCCAGTCACTCCCTGGCCACGTGACCCAGTGCAGAGGGGACACATAGCGTCCCTGAATAGGAGGCTCCAGCTGCTTCCAAACCACTTCTTACCAGATGCTTGGTGACGTTTCCTAGCAGCTGCTGGCCAGGAGAGAAATGTACTGAAGCAACCCCAGCGGGCCACCCAGAAGGGGACAGTAGCTGTGTCCCACCCACTGTGCCCTAGCCTGTGATTTCCTGTCCGCAGCCTGCATCCCTGCAAACATCACCAGAGTCCCCACCTCAGCGTGGGCCCAGACACAGAGCCAGGATGGCCACCACAGGGGTCACACAGTCACGGTGGGCACTGCCAGCCTCCTCTGCTGGCCACAGTCTGCTGTTCCAGGGCCTCCCAAGCAGTGCCTACAGCTCCCCTCCTCAGACGGGCTGTGCTGACCAGCAGGAGGCAGGAAAGGGTCCTCACTATCTGCTTCCTTTCTTCCCTTGGTCCCAGCCCCCTGTCCACCCAGACCGGTCCACAGAGGCTGACCCCAAGACTGATGAGCACAAAGATACTTTTAGATGGTGCAACCGCTGTGGAAACCAGTGTGGAGATGCCTCAAAAAACTAGGATTAGAGGTCCCATTTCACCCAGCTATTCCTCTCCTGGGTATCTTCCCAAAGGAATTAAAAAGAATCACACCACAGCAACATGTGCACACCCATGTTTACAGCAGCACAGTCTGTAATAGCTAAAACTTGGAAAGAGACCAATTGCCCATCAACTGGAGACTGGATAAATATATTTTTTAATAATAGATAATGTGAAACAGGAAGAAAAGGTCCAAATGGGAAGGGGAAGTGCGAAGGGGTAGGGGAAAAGGAAGGAAAAAATATGAGAAAAGGAAAAACTGGAAACAAAGTCTTTGTAAATAGGGAGGGGAGGAGGAGTTGTAGGGAGGGCAGAGGGATAGGAAACAAATAAGAACCAAGATACACCATGTAAAGGTACGAATTCCCAGGTCAGAGATTTAGCTCAGTGGCACTGTGCCTGCTTTGCAAGCACAAGGTCCTGAGCTCAATCCCCAGTACCAAACAAACAAAAAAAGGTACAAATTTTCAATGATGAATGTCCTCATAGTATATATCTAGAATGTACCAATAAACTTAATGAATTTAAAAAGAAAGGAAGGAAGGTACTTTAGAGGCACAGAGTAGGTAGGGACAGAAGGAGCCAACAACTAACTGACCAGCCAGCAGTAGCCAGGCCCATGGTGGCCCTCAGGAGGCAGGGACCTCCAAGTATGGCATGGGGTCAGAGAAGGGGCCTGGCCGGGCCCAGTAGTCCAGTGCTCGCACACGGTAGGAGCCAGAGACAGCAGCTGAGTCTGCAAACACAAAGGTATGTGTGGCCTTTAGCTCCTGCCCCTGGACCCATCCTACCAGGTATGTGGGAGGCCCAGCACAGAAGGCGCTGAAACCAGAGCCGTGGCTGTGGGTGCACCTGGGCTGAATACGAAGAGGTTGAACGTTGAGGGCTTCCTGCTGACCAGGTTGTACGCCTTGCCGTCCAGGGAGAAATGGATTTCATATGTCCACAGGCACCTGGGAAGTCATGTTCAGGAGGGTCAGTGGCTCCCGGAGGCCTGGATGGCCAGAACCTCCTCTTGCCAATCCCCTTCCTCACCCTGGGGTGACCCTGGCACTCTTTTTGCTTTGAGCAGAGGCCACACTGCAGAGAGAAGCCCAACTCCCAGTATCCTCTGCAGGTGCCTACACCCCAGAACGGACACCCCGAGTGGGATCTGTGAAGGGGTGGATGAAGGAGGAGTGAGAGGGGCAGGCCAGTAACAAGGGTGCAGCGGAAGTGGGGGAGGAAGGTGGGCACCAGGGGAGGTCGCAACACACTCACGCACTTGGTGCCCACTCGTTCATCGGACCAGACCAGAGCCAGTTGCCCTCGGGTCAAGGGCAGCACACGGAGCCGGGTCACCTGGGGGCAAGAAGCAGGCGCAAGGGGCAGGTGAGTCGGGCGTCCTGGGG